TTGTTTCAGGGACGCTGTAAGGGGATCGTATTCGCTCGCTGTTGGGAGAGGGAGGTCGTATTCGGCTTCTGATCTTCTAAAAGTGCTTGTTGATTTTCGCCTCCAATCCTCCCTCTTCCCGCTCCACAGCCGATCGGATGAGGAGGGAGGGGGGGGGGGTCGTGTCAAACCACCTTTTAGGAGGAGGTCGTACGGCCTAGACCAAAATCTTGTCTTCAATGATTTTTTGTAGCCACAACCAAGGTGTTAAATCACTTTATTGGGCTTACGTTTCGGCTAGTCGCCTTCGTCAGAGCCTGGAAGTTGAAGATCAGTGATTCAATCCTTATAAATCATTTCAGACTTAGAAATAGACTAAAGAAATAGAATAGATCAAAATCCCCAACGTGATGTGCCCTGTTTCACGAGCGGTCTCGCTAAAGGCATATTGCCCGCCAAAGCTGGCGTGCGGTGGATCGATAGATATACTTTCCTAGTGGCTAGAAAGACTGTTGTAAGCTTGCATACGCAGGTGTACGCTAGTTTGGCACCTACACTTCCTAGTCACTGGTGCTAGACAGCTGACGCAAAGTATGAACGCAGCCAGGAAACCCTTATTTTACCGTTTTTATCGTTTAATGAATCGTGAATGTGTGGGGTACAGTTCAGGCTTGTAGCTAGGAGTCATTCCCTGCTTCTTAGGGCAAGCTAGCGACACCCACAATGTTGACTGTCCAACCCAATACCAAGGGTCATACCGCTTCCTTCTGGTCGTGTGGATGAAACTTTGCCCACATCACTTTCACTATGAGGGATAAACTTTAACTTTCAATTCGAAGGTGATTAAGGTCCACAGGTAAGTGACATGACTCTGATATTGATTTCAGATGGGAACTGGTGGCAGTTAAAGGAAAGGCAACGTACTTAAAGAATCGCAGTCAACGATTACTGAAAGACCGAATGAACAAGTACCGTCTAGTTGATAATAAAGGGTTCGCTGCTTTATAATCTTATTCTATATTCTATGTTTTCCATTAAATATTTGCCATTAAGAATGGTGGTAGAAGATATGCACGAAGAGGAGCCAAGCACATCATCTGGTGCGTTTTCTCGACCTTCTGCGTTGAAAAATGGACCTGCAGTTCCTCAACTCACATCACACATATGGGGAACTGGCCCTGAAGCAGTACCACGACCACAGCAAAGTGTGCTAGAGAAGGCCTTGAATGCGTACGTTTTTTTTGTAATTTTCGTATTTCTCACATAAATCACAAGTGTTCGATTCTAGAAATGCGAAGTGCAAGCTCTCTCTTCTTTGCAGTTCGCTGGCCCCATCTGCGATTGCACCATCCGCTCCCCGCACTCCGAACCTTCGATGTCAACCTTCCCGCGGAGATCCCACTTGGAATGATACCAGTAGTGGATATGCTACAATGAATGGGGACTTACCCATGAGCACTCCGAAGAATTATGACAGTGCAGTTCGTGCTTATGAAAATTGTCAAGGACTCCCGATTCCTGATTCAGTGGATGCGGTGGGTCATCTGCAGTAGAGAAAACGATTTGTTTCAGCAGGAATTTTGTCGACCTAAAACGCTGAAAGGAATATTTTTAGGTCTTAGATGAAGTCAATAGAAAAACTCGAAGTGCCCCGACAAATGCAGCAAGCAGTAGTGGAGTCCCTGATAATGTTCTCGAAACGTCCATTTGCTCCTCAGGTGAAGATATTTAGAGTTTCATAGCATTTTTCATCGACGTAAACTGTTCTTTCATCAAGAGTGATGCGCCAATGTATTCAGCCGAACAGACCTTGAATTCTAGTGAACTCGTCGTTGGCTGTCGATAGCCATTCGCTAGGAAGTCGTATGGAGTTGACTGCACTTCCTAATGTCACGAGATTCTCGGAATTTGGTGTAAAGGTGGGAAAAAGTTTGTAATTTTATCTTTATAATCATCTCTTTTGTGAGGAAAGTGCATTTTCTATGCAGCTCAGCGGACATCGGCCCATGAACAACTCACGCTCTTATTTATTTATTTATTACATGCCCGCTGGGAGCATGTTGAACCAGCGTGAAACATCAGAACCAAACATAACAAATCAAACAATGTTTAAAAAAGTAGTAATAATAGCAATTAAAGGGAGAGGCAGTGTATCGTGAGGTAGATAAAACTTCGAATAACAACACAAAAAGTGACAAGAAGAAAAGGAGAATGGAACCAGTGCGATGAGGAGTCAGTGAGCAAACTAGCTGAACTTCTTGAGGAAACGCGAGATTTCTTGTTTGAAGCGGGAGAGCTTTATAGGCAAACGAATGCTCTTGCATAACTTAGAGTACTCAGAACCAGCACGCTGAGTGAAGAAGTGGCTACGAAGCGAAGACCTGGCGATGTTGAGGCAGAATTTTGCTAGGCTCACCTCTAGTAGATGAAACAGAAAAAGAAAATAGCTTATTGGCTGCAAATGCCATTGACCCATGGACGATTTTGAAGACGGTGATCAGGTCGTTCTTTAACCTCCGTTTAGAAAGAGAATCCAGATTAAGCATTTTATTTCGAATAATGGCCCGTGGGATACTGTTGTAAGTGTACCCTAACGCTCTTATAAAAACTTTCCTAGTGAAACTATTTTGCACACGTTCAATAGCCTGGATGATTTTTTTCTTGTATGGAAAGAAAATACTTGTCCCATATTCGAGAATAGGTCTGACATACAT